CTTCAATCCGTTCCATGCACACGGATCCGCAAAACACACCCACAAATATCTCATATTCAATGCTTGACCTAAATTCTTTACAGATTTAGCTCACTGGCTTTTTTTCTTCTCTTATTCTATCTATCTATCTCTCTGTCTGTGTGTGTCCCCTCCTATCGCCTCCTCTCTACCTGATGTTTGCATACAAGTGTATAGATAACTGTTTACAAAAGTAAAAAAGCGAACTCAACAATTCACTCCCCTTCTTGACTATTTTTAATACTACTACTATTAATTGCTAGTATGTTTGTTTACTTAGCTTATCTTTGTACAAGTTCATTCTCTTTATGTGGACTTTTATGTCTGATTCGACTATTCGATAGCATTTTACTATTATCATTAGTATATTATTAATACTTAATGCCCTTGCTTCAAGTTATTCTAACATGAGCACATATGAAGTTTGTTTGTATGTAAGGAGACATGAAATACATGCTCAGGTGTTGAGGTGTATATATGCCTAAACGAGTTGAAATAGTTTCAGATTTTAAAAGTAAAATATAATATTACTTACTTACTTACTTATCTGAATGCAGTGATAAGTAAATCATGGATTAACTTATTATGGGTTGTACCTCAGCATCTTTGCATGCGCCATTGTGTATGTGTGTGTGTCCAGGAGAAGGAGCAAATAACATAGAACTTATTTTTTCACAATCTCGTTTCTCTAGGATTAAATTTTATCTCTATGTGGTATTTCTAGTGAAGTGATATTAATTGAAAGCCTAGCGGCACTGGAAGTCTGTTTACAATTGGTCTGAGACTCTTCAGCCGTGTGCAACTATAGTCTTACGATCGAACAACAAAAGGAATGCTAAATTTCATGGTCAATTAGTCGATGATTTAGGTTCCAGTTTTCGATATTTTCTTATCTCTGTCAATTTATGACATAGTATGACCATCATCTTTTGTTATAAGTCGCAGTTTCTAATTAGAACTACCGAAAATCCATTTCCACTCAACGTTTCTTCAACTGATGTCTGTCCATGTTTACATTTCATCTGCTGTACATAGTATATTTAACGTAGAATTATCTTTTTTACTTCGAACTTTAGACCACAACCATCTACTGGTGTATTTTATATTCCCTTATGAGAAAATTCGCACCCACAACGAGTAAAGGTGGAAATGCGTTGTAAGTGTAAAAATGTAAAAGGTCGGGAATGGTAGTCTTCCAACGCTGGTCTCCCCCATAGGTGACAATGAACTCATCTGATACTGAATAATAATTAAATGTGAAATGGAATTTGGTCTGCGACAGGATTGGAACAAGCTACCACTGGGTTATTGGTTTAGTGCTGAATCAACTGAACTACGATTTCCAACTTGGTAGCCCACAAATTGGAATCTTGTCATGACGGAAATTTTTGTTTCACCTTCAATAATCAACCTATGTCAAAATGATGAACTCTTGTGAACCAATCCTTACTCACAAAGAGCTGTATTTGTGATTTACCTGACATTTATCAGTTTCAAGCATTATATATATATATATATATATATATATATATATAACATGGAAACTGCTTCAACACTATGGTTTCAGTTCCACAAACCCTTATCAAACCCATCCAACAGCTATATCCTATGCCATATGATGCTACATGCCAAGTGATTCATAACGGAAAGCTCACTTCACTGATTCCTTTGAAGTGAAGACAGTAAGGAGTAAGACAAGGCTGCCACCTACTTACTTTCACCCATCATCTTCCTCATGGTGGTCAATTGGACTGGACAGGACTGGACTGGACTGAACTGAACTGGATCATGCAAGAAACAGTGAGGAGCTGTGAGAAAATGGGCATGCGCTAACTGGACCGATGACGAGACCCGAGAAGAAGATGTGGATTTCGCCGACAATGAGGATTTATGTCTGATGTCTTGTTGCATAAACTGGAGGATCTACATGCCAAGACCAAGACATTGACAGAAGAGGCAGTGAAGACGTGACTTCAAGTGAACATAGAGAAGGTAGAGGCAATGTGGATATCCAACCAACAACGCTAACAAGCACCAATCACAATCAAGGCGAGAAATCTGAAGGGATTTGTCTCTTCCACCTATCCAGACAAGGCCGCATCGTTTCAACTACATGTGGTGCTGGTGGCACACATGAAGATGTCAAATCCAGGATCGGAAACACAGTAAGACAGGCTTTCATTAATCTGAAATCAATCAGTGTGGAGATCTACTGCACTCTAGTGTACTCTACTGCACTGCACTCTACTGTACTGCACTGCACTACACTGCACTACACTCAGCATAAAGCATGAACAACATCCACATTTTCAACACTAATGTCAGGTAAGTTAGTGCTTCTATGTGATGGTTGAGAGAATTGGCGCCTCACGAATAGCATTTCCAACAAACTGCACACACACACACACACACATTATCATCATCATCATCATCATCAACAACAACAGCTGCCACCTACGCTCACTCCATACTGAAGCTGAAGATGGAGATCAGATGACCAGAATGACAAGAATGAGCAAGGAGGAACTGTGGCTGTCAGGCAACCAACCAACAAAGCAACCAGCCAGCCAGCCAACCAACCAACCAAGAAGCCATCACCCAACAAATACGTGGGAGATGGTGGATGTGGATTGGATTGTACATACACTGAGAAGATCGATTGAGGATATCACGCATCAGGTCAGTCGGGATTTTCGAGTGGAATTTGTGTGGGAAAGGACGATTTGGGTGTCTGAGGTGATGGTGATATAGAGGAGATGATTTGAGTAAGAAATGCAAGGTTGTTGGTAGTGTTGTAGCTAGGTTGAGCATACTGTAGAGAAGAGAGTGAAATGGCTATGTGTTACTGAATCTCTATTTTCCACTAGGAACCCAAATGACTTATAATGAAGAATGAAATAGGTTAGTTACGATTCACAACTGATGTAAGTTCTCATGATTGCTTCCTTTTAATAATTCATTTGATTTATCGATGAGTTGTGCACTTAAATGTCGACTCGTAACCCTACCACTAACTTGGTTTTACAATTCATTTAATGTCAACTGAAAGTCTCTTTTGCTCTTTACTGACTTCATTCTTTCTATATAGCTCAGGTAGCCACTTTTATATGTGTTTAGCAGTAACTTGAAATAGCCAGAGTTATATATGTGTGGACTACCATATATGATGACTGTCGTACAACAACCTACACATTCCACCTTTAATGATCACTTAATTCCTCCATAAAGAGAAAAGGCGTCAGTTGAATGGAAGGTGCATTTTACAATGTCAACGGCAACATAGACAATATATACAAAATACAAGGTTTATATATATTACAGTGACCTAGGCTACGTCCAGGCCAACTAGATATAATTTTTATTAATTTTTCACTCTTCAACCAATCTGATACTAACACTTTGATTCACATGTTGTTTTGCAAAAATTTCACAAAAAAGCAATTACTTGAAAAAGGCTTTAGGTATATACGGCTCCTTGTGAAGATTTTGCCAATCTTTTTGCACATTATAACTATTTCTAATAAGAGAACCTCAGAGGCCGATTCCTAGTTGTCATAATGTCGTTTCCAGAGTAAACAAATAATCTTTATTTATTGGAATTTAGGTGCTGACTTTTGATAGACATAATGGTTATACTTTCTTCGTCTATTGCACTTCTTATTTCTCACCATAAATAATCTAAATCTTTAGAATAATCGCACTACTCTACGTAAATCTTCTGGGAGTAACTCGTTTACTCATGATTGATTATTTCAAAAACGCCAGAACTCTTTTTGATTTTGCGATTTTACATTTTTGACTATTGAAGAAAGCTAGCTGTCTTTACGTGTACTCAATAAGCATTAATATTTGAGATCAAGCGATTTGAGCGAAGGGATTGTTCTGAAGCTTGTTTACAGTAATCTTGTACTCAAGAATAGGAAAATGAAACTGACTGAAATAAACTATTTTTGAGATGAATAAGGTTTTTAATTTAGAGGTAGTATTCATCATGGACTGAAATCATTCGGGGGGGGGGACACTGAAAACCTGGAAGGACCAAATGGCTCTTTCGTCCTAGTATGGGACTCCTCAGCTGTACGAAAAATGCATTATTGTGTAGCGCTCATGTGATATGCTTCCAGTTGGATATTATGAAGTTCTAATGAGAAGCTGTGACCTATTGGGTCAACCAGTCGGAAGGGAAACGGATGCCAACTGAAGACAAAAGTTGATATTCGCGGTATATCGTGAATTGACACAAGTTAGAAACTGTGAACCACTGAAACCCGACAGAGTGCCTAATTGGTTAACGCACTTGCCTTGAAACCTAAGGGTCGTGAGTTCGATCTTCAGCTGGTTCGTTGATGCGTAGTGCTGAGTCTCATATTAAGGTGGGACGACAGCCCAGTGCTCCAGGGTTTTCAGTGGGTGATGAGTGCTACCTTAAACATAAAATCCCTATTAATTTGAAATGTGCATATATTCCTTGTATGCATCCTTATAATTAGTTCTCAGTATTCTAGGGTTGAGTACTACATCTACTGTGGAAATGTCAAAAATATTCAGGCTTCAACAATCACTAGTCATTGATTAACTTTAGTCTGAATTGCAAGAGTTCTCTTCATCATTAGCAATAATTTATTCCTCATAAAGTCGACTAGCCATTTGATAATCTAGTCAGTCGGATCATGTTAAATCGCCTTATTTACCAACAATTAATCTTAGCATGCGATGAACTACAAAAAATGCGTGATACTCAAATTATCATTTAAGGTTATCAACACAAGTGGATGCTAAAGATGGTCTTGTTTATATAATATTAATTATATTGGCAGTTTATTGATTTGAAACCTTGATGATTTGCACTCTTGTTCTTCATTTTACTGAAAGCTTAACTTCTTGACCGATCATCATATGATTAGTGTTTTGCAATACTTTGACCTATTCTCCGGAAAAAATTGTATAAATCCTCTTTTGCATGATGTTTTCGTAACTGTATAGGAAGCAATGTCAACTAACTCAATACTGGTCACTGTTTTATTATCTTGCACGGTTGTATGTTTATTGGAAACAGGAGTGGATGCAGTAAGCGGCAATAAAGTTCAATCACTAACGCAGTCGGGATATGCATCACACGGTTGGCAAAAATCAAGTTTATTATGCCTACGATTAAATAGTGGGAAAAATCAACATGGTGATTGGTTTGACTTTTGTGACAGCAATGAACTACTTTCTTCATTTCTTATTTGGAATTTAAAATCTGCTTGTACACCTGAATCTTGGAGTTACAGAAGTCAAAGGTATTGGTTATTATACGAGTAAGTCAAAAAATATTCAGTGAACGTCTTCACCTACTTATTAGTAGCATGAACAAATTTAAGAAATATTACCAGATCATATTATAAAGTTTTGTTTTCAGTAAGTAATTGGTGACTTGGATAACCAATAAATCCTCCATGAAACTGACGGCTGATAGCTTAGAAATATATAAATATTTTAAGTGATTTAATTCCAAATTTGATGAAATTTAGAGAAATATTTAAACATTATTAGAGCTATCATACTTCATCGAGAGTGAACAAAAACACTCGACTATTCACAAAGACCACTGCATATGAGTTATGTAGTGTGCTACGTGCGAAATTCCTCTGGAGTAATAATAATAACAATGTAAACCATGCAAACTTTCGGTCTGATTTTAAGATTTGAATTCTAACTTTAGTGACGTAAACCTGGCGTATCCAATACAGTTGATGGCAAAATCATTCAGTTAACAGCTATAAATGGCTGCACATTTATGCTAGCAATACTAATTCCTGGAAGGTGATGTAACCAGCTGTGTAGAAAAGCATTCAGCGACTTGAAAGTCTAAATGAAGAACTTTAAGGCGGTCTACTGCTCAAGAGACAGAAACCCTGACATCTGTCTTATGAAAAATTATATATTATTTAAAATTTGAACAGAGTCACGGCTTACTTTCCATGTCATAGCTTGTAATTCTTCACTGTTGGTTCTACTGAATTGTTCAGCCTTTTGTTGGCATGTGGACTCCTGTAGGGATGTCTTAATATTGTCGGGATTTTCAGACTAGACATTAGTGGTGGGATAGTGGCCAGCAATGGAACTCAGGATGTACGTTCTGTCCTATTTTCTACTCGTTAGTTAGATATACCTTCCTCCCAGTGTTAACATGAAATTATAAAAAGGGCACCATATCCATTGCACATTGAGTGAATAAAGTGAATCAGTCTACTAGTGGGTAACGCTTTGGTGGTCATTCTCGTGATCGAGTCCTAGTAGGAACAACACTCGTGTACAAGTACATCTAACTGTCTACTCCCAAGTGGAACAAAACGCGTCTCCTGGATTCCAAAGCTGGCCATTATCTATCATTATTGTTATGAGATGCCTACAAAGTGGTGGCTTCTTCCTCTCCATTTCTGTACATAAAATAAACAGTTCTCTTGAGAATTGAGTTTATTAGATGACATGTTTTATGTAGGTATGTTAAGCATAGATAGAATGATTTTGGACAAATCTTATGTTTTCATGACAGCCCGTAGTTTCACAAGAAATATCATGTCTAAGAAATCGGTCATGAATCCATTGAGGACAACACTTCTTTCTGTATGCTGGAATGAATTTGTGTTGTTTATTGATTAACTTATTAACATAACATAAGGTTTTCTTCAGTTTTTCTGAATGTTTGTTTGTAAAACTGGAAAATTGTCAATCCATAATCTGTAACGTGACATCATTTCTTTCCAGTTCACGCTTACGTCTTTTATACATAAAGGTTTGTCCTACCTACTAATAGTAAGTAGTGTGATCATGATGTCAGCTTGTCCACAGCTATAATCATTCGTTTCGATCATAATCCTATTTATTCATCATTTAACTTTTTAGAGTATTATTACCTTTCTTAGTTCTTTATCTCGTTTGGCTCTTTTTGGTTGCTTCCTTCTGCTCTGTATTACATTGATCATTAGTTTATTTCGTGTCTTCAGGATTGTCGCATAAAATCGTGCGTTTTTTATTTTCTCCACTGGTTCGCTCTTTATACTGTTGAATGACTTCCTGTAAGATGGGTTCGACTGTGTTGATGGGCTAGCAGATACCTTATAATTTGATAAAAGTCCTTTGCTTTGGATTTTATGCATCTTTAAACTTTTTGAAACTTGTGTGAAAAATATCAGGATAAAAAGAATACGATAGATAGTGAAGTTTCGACGTTTTGCAATCTTGTCAAAGCTTCTTCTTCTTCAGCGAATAAAATATATGTATATTTTCATGAGGCTGGGAAACCCTAGAAATTCACTTTTCTACTTCGTTGAGATTCTATATATAAGCACTAGCATAAAAGCAGGAATTTAAGGTGTTTTTGACCTTGATGCCACATTCTGTTCATGAAGTTAACTTATGGCTGGTATATCGTTGGTAAGAGTCAAAGTTTTAACTGAATGAATCATCTGAATTGTAAGTAACAAGGTGTAACCTATTATGACAGTATACCATGAGAGTATGAACGCAGGATTCATCGTATCTTTATAGGTAGTGTGACAACATACGTCTTGGTTATGCAGACAAAGACTAGCGCCTGCTATCTTATAGTCAGACTGAAAGATAAGTACATCTCATCTTTATGATGCACATTATGGTATTCTTAAATTCCTGATATCATCTATCCTGTTTTCCATAAAACAGCTTTTTTCTTCACTTATTTGTATCTTCTACAGACAACCATATTTCCGCGGTCCATATATCCTACTTGGTCCTGGTAGGTGTGTTGATAATGTGTACGCCTACAAAGTGTTATCAATATCTTCTGTACTTGTGTGTGTGCTAAATATCCCATACACATTCTATCCTACTGTAACTTGTCAGTACCCGAATCGACCGTGGCGAGAATTTCAGTCAACAACATTCCAATATTATAAAAGTAATGATAACAAACACCAAAATATCTTTGCTGAGAATAAGTCCGGATTTGGCGGTTTATCCAGTACAAGTTATAATTTAACTGATTTATTACGACAAAGTGTAAATAATAAGTGATAAGCCTGTAAAAAAATTTTTTTTCTGTACTCTACAATAAAATGTGATTTTAGAAAAAAGTGGAATAAATCTTGTAATCTTTAACTGAATAAAATTTCAGATATTTCATGAACCCTACAGAATTTTCTCATGATCCCTTTATTGTGTAAAGTTGAATAGTCTTGATTCGAAGAGGTTCAGTTAATGGAATACCTTATTACTATCATTAAAACTGAAATGCTACAAACACTAGTTATTTTTAAAAGAATGCCACATTTCGTATCAAGTCGGCATTTCCAGAAATCAAACATTAGATAAAACAAGATAGATAGATAGACAGACAGACACATAAACAGGCATGCAAACAGATAGATAGAGAGGCAGACAAAAACAAAATCAACGTAGAACCTCACATACGAATTCATCTGTTCAAGTCGCCACAATCCACGGTAGTATACAAATAACAAGTACATAGAAAAGAGTGATGTTAAAGTCGACAAAGTTGTGTGACAGAATAAGCAAATTGAAGGTAAAGGCTAGAGCAAATATTCAAGCTTTAGAAGATTTCAGTTAGTGAATACATCTGCGACATTCTGACCAATTTCCAGGAATAATCACCAAGAGTCTTCAACCACTAATTTCTTTCGTCTAGTGGACATCAGCCAGGGAGTCTGGATCTCTTCACACGACTCAGAGCAACAGTTTGGAACTTTATTGACTGGTGCAACGTCTTGGTCTGTCCACCTTGAATCCTCTTCCAACCTTATCCAATTTTTCATAGCATGGTACATAGAGGTGGGTAGTGGCGTGACATATACAGTACATGTCCAAGCCATCTCAATCATTTAAGGTTCACAACCTAGTGAATCGACTTGCTTATCTTGTCTAGTACCCTTCACCTGACCTCAGCCTTGCTCACACAACGATTTCATCAAGCGCGAGCAATGCTAGGAAGATATCTGTCACCAAAGACATGCAACCAACCGGACGAGATTAACTAATCCAAAGGAAATGAAAACAGAAGTAACCAAAGCTTCCGTAAAATAGTTAGTGAAGGGTGAAGAAAGTTTTCTCTTAAGTTTTGTTTAGGTTATCGTAAGAGATTATCTCAGAAGGATTTAGGTTTTCACCTCATCTTGATCCATACAAATTAATCAGACCATTGTAGTATGGCGTGTCATACTACAGCAGTTCGCGTAAGTTTATTTGCAAAACTAATGATTCTAACTGGTAAGAATTTTTATGAAATAAATATACTTAAATCTTATGCAATATTATATAGAAGGAAGGATGGCTATCTAGTTATAAAAATCCTAGGACAGGTTGTCCTTTACGCACTGACATCAGCTAGAGAGACTCTTGACGGTCTGCTTGAACTTTGGGCTACTAAAAATTTGCCACTGAATATATTACATCAAACTGTTCCTATTCAGTTTGTTTTAGTCGTTTAAATATATATTCTAAACTTATTATTTACTCTCGGATATTTTAAAAATATTTTCAGTTAAGTGTTTATTAAATTAACAACCAAATGAAGAAATGAACTGTTAAGTGACCAAAAATTACTATTCCTAAGGTGCTTAGTTCAAATTCCGGATTTTTGTGCTATCTGAAGGAATCACCACCAAGAAACTTAGGCTCACTTTTGTTTTTATTACCTATTCCAAACAAGAGGTTGATCTAATACTAGCTGGCTGTTTCACACTACTGATTCTAATACTGTTATTATTAACATAATTCAGATGCTGTACTTTTCTCGTTCAAGTAGTGAATTTCTTGAAATAGTACATGTTGAGAATTCCATACTGTATCATGCAAGTCACTGGGAATAATAAATCGATTATTATTAAGTAAAAAGAGGCCTGGAAGCTGTTGACAGTTGTTCCCCTTCAACTTCAGGACTCATCATCAGCGTGCATTTGGAATTAGTGGAGTATTTAGCACAGCTTTTGTAGTGAACACGTTGCAGAAATATAGTTATCTGTAATCGAAACTGTTTTGGAAACAATCAGTCGCAACAAATAATCAGCTGCACAATTTTGAACTTCAAAAACTCGGTTGAGCAATCATTTGGCAGTTAATCTTTTTCAAAGCAATACATTTTTATGTAGGCATGATATTTAAGGGTTCACTTTCTTGAGAACATATGAAGAATGAAAAAAGATGATTCTAAGTAATCATCTGAATATATGCATATATATTCACTTACAGCATGTTACACTTTAATTTAATACTAAGGGCCAGAAAATTTGTCTTCTGACGGATCTATCATTCATTGTCTTTCACAAGATTAGGATACGTCGAGTTTATTTGGAAGAACGCTGCACTACAGCACACTTTATTCCTTAAAACCTTTCCGTTTTATTGAGGTCATCACTTACGACAATATTATGTGTTGAAAACATTTCACCTGTATGTACCCCATAAGAGAAGTAAACAAGTTTTCAAGCAATCGAATTTGGTTCATTCACAACTCCTATTTCTTTTCCTACTTTGCTTTAATTTCCTGTTACTTTGACGTTATGCTTGTGTCAGTTTTACGCTTCTAGACGTATTCTACTTACTATTAATGAGTAGTATATATTTCCTTAGAATGTTACTTAGTTCGGAACTTTGATTGTCAAGTTCTATTGAAACCGTATTTTGTTGGTCGCTTGAGCATCTTTCCGGTTCATTGTTATTTTGTTGTCCCTTTGATTGTTTCATTAATGACACAGTCTCTCCTGAGCACGCATACATCCAAACCTTTTTACCTCGTCCTCCGAATCTGCGAGTTCTTGACGTTTTCGACCAGAGTTTGTTTCGGAAGCAACAGTTATGTTCATCTTTTTGGCACAGTTCCTTTACAGTGATTTTGATGGTGATAATCGAAGTAACGCCTCACGATTCTACGTTCCTTGTTTGTCACTGATTATTATTTTCTGTCAAAGAATGTCGTATTTCAGAAAAAGTTTGTGTTTTTAGCTTTATGTACCACTCGAATAAACTCGTTGTTCTGGTTCGGATTTCTAGAAGACAGTTCACATTACTCACATCTAGTATATGTATCTTCGTTCTAATGTTTTGTATGCCTTGAACAGCAGACAGGAAAGAAGAAATTGCTAACGTAGCAGAAGCTCCCATGTTGTTGGCGAAAAAATCCTCATTATGCAACTTAACCGTTTACCTTTACTTGCTTCTTTTTGCGGTACTCATCAACCCAAATCAAGTGAGTAGGTTTTGATGGATCTACGCAAGGCTTAGGCTTTAATAAGATATCCTCTAACAATGGCAAGTTAGAAGAAGTAGGGAAATAAGTTAAGAAATTGAAGTCACAGAGAAATAAGTTAAAACAAACTAAGAATAAATCACATGGTGAAGGCCAGTTGAAGTACAGCTGTACAAGTAAAACTAGAAGGGAGTGTGAACAGTTTTAAAAACAACTGTAACGCAAAATAAGTTGTTAGCCTTTGGTTCGAACTCACTGCACAGTTCACCTGCATGTTTACGGTCGACTGACGCTTACCCTACTATTACTCCTATAATCGAAGAATACAACTTGATGAAACTAAGTAAACTTAATTTTGGAAGACGTATGATTACTGTGATATGATTATGAGTGATAATTTGTGGTTGAAATGTCATCCAGTGAATAATACTGTATTAATATATCAAATAAACAAATCTAATATGGAATTGTACTCCCTTGAAAGGTCAAAAATTTACTTACTATTGATGCTTTATGGCAGCGTAAAGGGAAGTGAAATCGCCATCATCCTCACGTTCCATAGTAGACTCGATGTTAGTATGAGCGTTATTAAAGACTCCTAGCAAGTTGGATATGAGATGTAAATCACTACACACAATAAAAATTTCATACATATACCTGTAGTGAAATGCTGTTTCTTTGATCGAGTATTGAAGCTTCGTGTTCTGTAGACTAGCGATGACAATGTCTGCCACTATAGCACCCAGCAGGCTTCCAACCGCTATTCTATTAACCCGACGGCAAAATTTTATATTGAACTACGAGTGAAGATGAAAGGTACACATTGATAAAGTGAGTATGAACTTTGATGCTGGAACGTAAAGGGAATCAGAATGCCAACAGATAATATCATTAGTTTCTTGAAGAGGTATATGAGCGAATAAAGATGTTGCATCAAAGGTCATCAAGAACTTTCGGAGATGTCAGTATGACTCAGGTTTCCGGCGTACTAGAACAAATCCTATAAGATGCATGCAGGCTGTTGTCAATGATTAAATTCCAATTTTCCAGACAAATGATGAGCCTTTTGTGTTGTGATGAATTAATTATGGACAGTATAGGCTTCAGTGGACCATTGGGCTTGTGTGTATTTGCTGGCCAATATGTATCAGGTAGACAAGACCTTTAAGGCCTTAGATCAGCTTATATGCTAAACTGACAATCTGCTTCTTTATCAAGAAATTTTTTCCGTATTGCTGTAATTCACTTTCATGTTGAGGCCTCTGGAATTTTCTTGAAGTTTTCGATTTTGAATGTCAAAGAGTTCTGAGGATTCAAATTGATCTTAACAACGTAATCTTTTGTATTCACTACCATAAGATCGGAATCTCTATCTCGTCTTCACTTAATAACTTCATCATTGTTCTTAAGACACTTTTCATTCTGTCAGGTGACATCTTGACAAATTTGGACTGAAATGAGATATTAGTCAGCAATATCGGCTAATTTAGCTCCACGCCAATTCTTCATCTCCTCATTTCTTAGAAAATATTACATGTTTCAAACTGAAGGTTATGGACGAATTCAATGAATTTTATGTGCCATACAATGAAGAGATCACTGACAACTAAACATCACATGGAAATCTTGAAGCCAATAGAAACAAATTCAACAATTAACTCGCTTGACTTACGTAAGACTTATTGTGGCTATGGCCATTAAATGCCTGAAGCTCGATGTATGCTTTCAAAAGGAAACTGTAGTCGATCCCTCTCTACTGTCATCAGCCTAAATATGACTTGCTTGCGTAATCCTCTTGTTAAATCTACATATGAACTTTTATTCTCATTTTAGTCACATTATC